AAGTCAGGGCAAGGCCGCTGTAGAGGGGCCCGAGGTTTCTCCAGGGCCCTGGGGGGCAGGCGTGGGAGGACTGGGTGTGAGGAGAAAGGACCTCCGGGAGCCCCCCCAGAAAGGCTGCGGGGCAGGGGGGACACGAAAGAAACCAGGAGGCCCGTCTGGAAGGGGGTGGCTGGGGGTGCAACGAGCAACACGCTGAGGGGCTCTAGCCCCAGCCACTCACTGCAGGTCAGCTTTGCCCGCCCTCCATCTGCCGCCTGGGGAGGCACATGCCTCCCTGGGAGTAGCCCAAACCCGCTGGCAGCCCCTCCTCCCCCCCAGGAGAAGGGCAGGTTCCCCCCAGGAGAAGGGCAGGTCCCCCCCAGGAGAAGGGCAGGTCCCCCCCAGGAGAAGGGCAGGTCCCCCCCAGGAGAAGGGCAGGTCCCCCCCAGGAGAAGGGCAGGTCCCCCCCAGGAGAAGGGCAGGTCCCCCCCAGGAGAAGGGCAGGTCCCCCCCAGGAGAAGGGCAGGTCCCCCCCAGGAGAAGGGCAGGTCCCCCCCAGGAGAAGGGCAGGTCCCCCCCAGGAGAAGGGCAGGTCCCCCCCAGGAGAAGGGCAGGTCCCCCCCAGGAGAAGGGCAGGTCCCCCCCAGGAGAAGGGCAGGTCCCCCCCAGGAGAAGGGCAGGTCCCCCCCAGGAGAAGGGCAGGTCCCCCCCAGGAGAAGGGCAGGTCCCCCCCAGGAGGGAGAAGGGCAGGTCCCCCCGGAGAAGGGCAGGTTCCCCCCAGGAGAAGGGCAGGCCCTTGGACCAGCCATGGCAGCAGCGAGAACTCCCCATGGCACAGGCGAGGGGGCAGCTGCGGAAGCACAAGTGTCCTGACCTCCGAGCCCCGCCCCCACATCCGAGGACTGTGCAGGGGGCCCTGCCCTGGGGGGCCAGCAGAGGGGACACACCCCTGACCCCTGGCCGGCCATGCGATCCAGGGTGACCGTCCAGGGTGGACTGAACACCCCAGAGCTGGGTCGTGCCTGGGAGCCCCTGGCTCGGCCCCCACAGCCGCCAGACGGGGTCTCAGACACTCAGGAGCCCAGAGCCACGGGCGCCCGTGGGCGGGTCACTGGCTGCCCGGCGGGCAGCGTTTAGGGAGTGACGGGCTCTCTCAGCCTCAGTCTCCCCTCACGTTACCAGCAGTGAGCACCAACCACAGGCCTCCCGGGGTTCTATGATCGGATGGGT